CATGCCAGAAACTTTCTACCAGAATACTACTTGACCCATCTCACCCACTGTATTCTCATCTTAGTCAATGTATCCCCACATCCAGCACTCGTTCCATGTAAAACATATCGCAGCACGCACCACTACCTACAAGTCTTCTATAATACCGTACCTGGCACGGTTTCTTACCAACGCTGACCTTGTCATTGGGACTCAGACAAAATCTTTGCTAAATTGGCTTTTTGTACATGTAACGTATCATCATACGTTTTGTTACCATGTAATTTCCAAAGAAGAGTGATTGTGTAGTAGCTGAATGTTCATCCCCTAAGAGGCGAATTAAAGCCGCTTCTTCTCTCTCTCTCTCTCTTGTGAACACATTTGGATGATGTCTGATGCGGATCTGGTTCGACTGAGGCAAGTTGTGTGACCACAGAAAACGGTGTAGGATGTTCTCACTTTAGTGAATGAGGAGCGGTAACACTGAACCATTTACCAAACACACGACGACTTACATCTCAGTTACCAACCCGTTCACTCCATTCCAACTGGGCTAGACTACGTAAACACCGACTGTCAAGAACCTTCAGGCGATGGATACCTTTTACTCGCAAATTTAGGGTCTCACAACCGTAAAGCAGTACATACCGAACAGTGGCGCAGTAAACGCGACTTTCCGCTTGTTTCAAGCTGCGGATTAAATGATAACAGTCATAGTAATCATGATAGTAATAAAGATGAGACAACAAACGATATACCCTATCTAAGAAGCACACCGGTTTCGCTGGTCGCATCTGTGTTCGAAATCAGGACGAGGGGAAAAAATACCCCGAGAGACGATAGCAGAAACTGAACTAACCATTTGGTGCAACCCCGTTGGGTCCGGCAGCCACAGGTGGCGGAATCACAGTGTAGCCAGCCTGAGCGAGCGCTTTCAATACGACGACCAGGGCAACTGAGCTGGCCCGAAACCGTATGTGTTGAGGTCGGACGCACAGCTCTTGATCACAGGTGTGCACCATAATATTGGTATCCGTACTGGACATGGGTAAACCGTGGTACAGCATTCCCACTATTGTATCCAAACGCCAAACCTGCGTATTGATAGAAAGAAGCGAATGAACAGAAAGGATGGGGAAAAGTTATTGTGAACAATTTAAAACCGAAATAGACTGATCATGTTACATTATATGGTGTAATATTTGTAAACTGTGAAGAAACACAGGCTGAAGTGTCACAACCGTTCAACTGGAGTAGTAATTTAAACTAAAATAAATGTTTCACTCTCTTTTCTGTTTATTAAGTGAAAACAAGTGTGCAGTCAACTTTCAGAAAGGAGGAACGCAAAGGCTGCTTGAAGAAATACAGAAGAGGCAGCAGAGGGGCATTGGTGGGGTCCGAACTCAGAATCCCCAGGTAACTATTTTGTTCACTTCAACAGCTTGGCCACCAATGGGGTACTGGCTAGTAAAGCCCAGGACTGAAACCCTGATTCCGATGCTACTATAGTATACCTTAATGGTGAATCAGTCAAACACCTATTTCGTAAGTCGTATGAGATGCCGATTCAAGATATCTAAATCATTATCACTACAATGCAGAGGTTTGAGAATTCTTTTAGAAAACATCCGTGTTAAGTTTTCGAAAAGCAAGCAGATTTCTTTCTGCTAGCTCTTGATGAAGAAGGCATGAATTGGCTTGAGGATACTCCGGTTGTTAAGGTCGCCAGCATACCTGATGCGTTGGGCATCCTGGACATGCGAACATCCTATAGAAGTAAGATCCAGTTGGCTGAGTACAAGCATTAAACCGCCCCAGTGCATCACACGTTAAGTCCAAGCCTCTAGTAACCTAGGCCCTCCAAAAAATCACTTGGTTGCGTAAGACAGTATTGTGCTTAATAACACTCACGCCGATTTTTTATGAAGATATTTTAGGCATGATTTGTTTGGCATATCACTTGGGACCCAAACAAGGACAACAAATCGGATGCGGATCATATATCTTTAAACTGGGCCAGTTATTTGTGTTAGCTCCGATTCTGTTGCATCTAAACATTTACCATAGCTTCCAAGCTCATTGATTCAGAATCGAGCTGCGTAAGCAAATTACGATTCCTGTGGAAAAACAGGCATGGAATCTAAATATTCAGACTACTACTACTACTACGATTACTGAATACACAATTCAACCTCGGCTGATCTCATACTTACATTATAACTAGGACAGTAACAGTGTGGTAAACCGACCGAGTTGACAAATAAATAAAATCAGTTGTGACCTTTCTCAGTGAAGTGATAAAGAAAAAGTAACAGCAATAAAAAATCCGAGACCGATAAGAAATGAAAACTAACTGTATTACTAGCACACAATGAGGGCCATCCGAAATGGGATCACGTGACGGCATACCGTGAGGAATGGTGTTTTTGATCTGCTGCTCTCTTCCCAACGTAAGCATAACACGATAATCGAAAGAAAAAGGAATTCTAGATGCGGATCACCTCCGCCTCGACAGCTGCAATATGTTTCTTCGCTTCGCACTGCAATACGGTCAACAGTTTCAGGTTGGACAAGCATGAACATCACACAGTTGTGCGGCTGTTGTGATTGTTGTATTTTGGAGACATATTTGGTCGACCAATGAGTAAGTGAAAGAGTTTAAAGCTAAAGGCTAGGCCAAAATAATAAACAAAGCAATTCACCCTAATTTACTTAGAGAGAGCTCAGCTGCACAAGTGCCATTGTTAACAACAGAGTTAAAATAAGATGACAAGGCTAGTGATTGTTCAAGAGCTTTCTTTCTTCTTTATTACAGCAAAAGGGGAAAACCTCATGATCAATGACATACGTGTCTCATTATTAGTTTACAATAGGGTAATTAGGAAGCTACATACATCTTCTCTGTGGGATGAACCCCTGATGAAGTGTCAGCACGTATACAAACTGCCCTGTTGGCGTTCGCCGACATCTACGGCGCCGCGACGACATCCGGACGCCTGTGAAGATTTGAGTGCACAGTGCAGCAATTTGGATGGTATCACTGTATGGCATAAAAACGTGTCCATCACTGAAAAAACAGAATACCGCCACTTAAGCACCGATGTTTAGGCTGGAGTGCACAATTTTGAGGACGTGAGAGAGGCAACCGGACAAAGTGCTGAGATTAGGTGTATTATTTTAGATAGTTGCGGTTGCGCAATGCAGCAAGTGTATGACTTTCACAGAAAGCGATTTCCAGGGCAGAAGTGAGTGGAAGTTCGAGGGTGGTGGTTTTACAGTGGATTAGGGGCTGTTACCGGGGTGCTTTGAACCCTATGGCCAGAGGATCGTTCCCCGCCACCGCCACCCAACTTTGCTGTCACCCGGTTCTATACGATACCTAATCTATCGGGACAGTATGTGACTCAGGTTGCCGTTTATCATCACTGAACAGCAGGTCTTCATGACTATGGGGTCCGTCGCGTCTGCTGTCCATCAGACCCCGGTATATATATATATATATATATATATATATATATATATATATATTACACCGGCTTGTGAACAACCATGGTGCCAACAACAACAATAACAGTAACAGGGAATAGGTGGATTGGGGTATAGAGCAAAGTGGAAAGAAGATGAAACAGTTAAATACGGGAAAATGGAAGATAACTGGGATAACAAAATTTTTGTGTTTCTCCGTACACTTTTTGGTATTTTTTATTGTTTGTTATTTTCATGTGTGTAATAAAAAACACGGTCAGGAAGGCGTGTGTGTGGTTTCTACACCTATCCTTGGTTGGTTTGAAATTAGGGTGATCGCAATTGGGCCTGGCACAAGAGCATGAAAACTCCGATCAGGGAACTCAGTCATATAGGTCGCACTGGACCTCCTGGTTATAGACCACGAGACCAACCTAATCTATGGTTAGAGACGCTGATTGATATGGCTAAGTGGTGTAAACAGTAAAGTTCATATATCTACTCACTTTCCACACACCGTACATGACCAATTCTCTTGTGTCCTGTATCTTTATTTCGATAATCCTTTCAACTTTGCACATTCCACTTTACTCTTTTTATTAGTCGAACAAATGGGGAGTCGACAGGCATCAACAGAAATCATCGCATGACAATACCAGGTTAATGGTCGTGAAAACTGGAATATCATACGTTCTATTTGTCTCCCATCCAATTTTTCAAACGATTGACTGGCGCTAAGCATTATTTTTTATTTCACACTCTTGTGTGATGAACGGCAAACGGGGTAGACCACATAGTCGCGAAAACCTGTTCAGTGATGGAAACCGGTAACTTGGAATGGCGAACCACATAAGGCCCCGATAGGTAAGAACTGGTATTGAGCGGGACGACAGCGAATTTCTCTATCACCAAAGTTGGGTAGCGGGGCTCGAACCCCAGACCACAGGCCTCAAAGTACGCCGATGAGAGCGACTACACCACTGCGCCACCACCCTCCTGAGCCTCAGTCTGGTCGAGGGTGGATTTATAGAATTGCGACTGGTTACCATTCCCTTGCACCTCGAGACATGCTCCCATAGGACAAAGTGTCTAAAGTTATAATTGCGGCTTTGGCTAGCCGAAGGCTTCAGTTGTGAACTCCCTAAGAAATTCTTTGTTTTGACCTGGGCAACGTAGCAGTACCGAACTCTCGAGTAAATCATGGACCTTATTTTATAAAGATTACTGCAGCGTGATTTGTTTGACACAGTTTGAACTCAGGCGTATGTGAAAATATATATTAACAAAAGCAAATTGTGTGACTATTTGACTCGCCTTGTCTGAACCCTTGCCACCATCGATTCGGCGCATGCGACCTTTAGCATCACCTCGACTGATTACACAAGAGTCCGGATCATTACGACTGTCTTCACTACCGAGCCAACATTTGAGGAACCAGAAAACCGAATCCGTGGGAAGTTCTTTATACAGTTTCTTCAACAGGTTGGCTACAGCATCTGTCTCCGAGCCGGCATTCATTTCCTGCAAACAAAAGGACAAAAACAAAAAAGGATAATGGACAACTGATTCCAGCTGTAGAATTTGTAAGCAAAAACAATAATCGCGATTGCACTCTTACACGGCTCACTGCAGCGTGGCAACCACTAGGGCGACTGATTTCCCGATAGTCCCTGTTCGGTAACAAAAACTGGAAACCCAATTCTTGAGAGTTGGAGTAGCAAACCATATCATAAGGACCCAGTGGAGATGAAGTATTGGATTGAATAACAACGACAAGGTTTGTCATCAAAGTTGGATTACGCATGCTGATACATGTCGTTAGAACGGACTTAAAGCACCCAACCGCCATAATGCGGGTCCAATAGTTTGTCAATGGTATTCTTCTCCGAAAAATGTCATTGTGGTAAATGAAAAGGAATGAAACCCACACCCAAGACCATCAACAGTGCCTGGTGCCTCTGAACAATCGAATGGGCCAATTCAAGCTTGAAAATCTAAAATACTCTGTAGCTTTAGAAATTTTCGATCAAAAATGGGAACCGGAAATGGTGGCGGCGAAAAGCGCGAAGGTTCGAGTGAAAAGAGTAAATTTGAGTCTAAGGAAAACAGAGTTGTGGTTTGAACATGGGACCCTACATGTTGATGACAGCGCCTTAAACAGCTCGAAGCATCTTCTAAGTTATCATTGTCTTTTGAACAAAACCCTTTCATCATCAAAATTCACATGCACTCACGAACACAGAAACTTTTGCGGTTCATTAGTTTCTGACGTTTGTGAAAAATTTACAGCAAAGAAGCCATATACAGGAGTGAATGACTACAATGGTAAGGCAACAGACAAAAGATTATCATCGCCCTATTAACAACAGACGGGATTAATCGCAGTTACGAGGATCGACTATTCACGCGGGGAGACTGGCAACCTAAGCCTCGGGACTCGGTGTGGCGAACCACATGGTCCCGTCAGGTTGGGAACGATATTAAGCCGGACGACAGCAGACCTGCCTACCACCGAAGTTGTGTGTGGGGGGGGAGACGTTGAACTCCGAACCCAAGGGCCCAAAGGATACCAGTGAAGGCAACTTGAACGGCTTGAACACAATCACCAAATTCTGAGTGGATGCATGAATAAGGGTGACACAGTGACAGGTCATTGTACAAAGAATGTGAGCTTTCGGAGTATCTTGCGGAAAATAAACAAGAATCAGTATGCTTATCAACAAGTTCTATGAGCAGGATATGAATGGGGATAGATGAAGCGTGACTAATAACTGCCAAGTCACAACGAAAGGCTTTCAAGTCTTGTTTTAGAAGGCCGGGAAAATTGCGAAAGAGGGAACTTAAAAAGGACTGACTGCAGTGATCGAAATAACTTGAGTTGGTTTATTTGAAAGGACAGCCGTCGAAGTGTTACAAAACAGCACCGACTGTGAAATACCCATGATATACTCTGGCAACTAAATTAACCCCCAGCTACTTAACTGAACTCTGAACAGATAATTGTAACTTGGTGACATGTCAACCCCACTTTGGTGGTACGCTCTTTCAGTGTCCGTGGCATATATCTATCAAGGTATGAGTTCAAGCCCCCCCCCCATTTTCACAACTATACAATTGACGAAGATGGTTAGCGTTACTATTCATGTTGTTTCTTAAACTCTTGTGGGTAAAAACTGGAATAGTTTATTCACTAAGTTATCTGAGCGGAGATAGGTTAATTTATAGTGGTAGTTTGAATTCACCCATTAGTGTTCACAGACCCGAAATAGTGCGTTCGTACTGTCTTGAATCGGCTTTAACTGTTGTAATGCTGGCTATCCATCCGGGAGATCAGAGAAGAATAAACTGAGAGCTGACCTAGTTACCGAGATGGGAAAAAGTAGAAGTGTATGGAGAGATATGAAATAGATAGATACACTAGCACCACTGTGTATGGCATTTCGTTTGGCAAAGCCCGAAGACGGAAAACTGTGCGAAACCAACCACCGATAACGCGAAAATCAAGACAAAATGTGGTATGATAATTGGCACAAACAATACGTGACACTTGAAATTCCACGAGTTACTGTAAAGATGAGCATGTGAAGCTTTCTCAGATGAATCGTTAAAAAGGAGCTCATTCTGGTGGGAAAGCATTGGACCGTGAAATTAACTAAAGATATCAATATGCAATGGATATCTCATTCGCAGCTCGTGGAGTGGATTTGACGAATGGCAAGAATCGCGATACCGATCGTGTGCTTCCGGGAAAGTTTGTCTAGTCATTCATATACTACTCATCATAAAGATATCATTTTTCTAAAGTCGAATAACGAGGGCAATATGTATCCTATTGCTCCTGAGAATGAGACCTGCAATCTTGAAGCGCGTTGCCATTAGCACTTCGGTCAAACAGAATCCAAATGGGCTGGATTTCAGAGTTTCCGTGGATTTACGGGTAGTGGTTTTGATCATTCAAGCAGGACAGAACTTAAAACCAGATGCGTGCAATGAATGATGGTAGAATCACAATGGTGGATACCGTCGAGTGAGACAGTCAGACTATCGGACATTGACTGCCTGGCTCAAATTAAGTTGATAAAACGGTCAAAACCCGCTAAACAGACAAGTGTAGTGTGATTCAGGGAATCGATAATTTTAAATGGTTCGGATCTGGAGTGACAAATCACACATAGCTACATGCATAAAAGGTGTGGTACTGTGCTGAAATGACGTCAGCAATGCTGTTCACCATCTAAGAGGTGGGCTGTCATCCGAAAAATACCGCGTTGTCTGCAGCGATTCGTAAACAAAGGCTCACCAAAACCTTTCTCGTCGAACCAACAAACAATGAGACATCATGATGTAGATTCCTACTGAGATTTGTGTCGAGATGAGCTTTTTGCTTTAGTCGTTACCAGTAGCTATTACAGTTGTTAGTCGGGCTCTTATTGAAAGTTACACTAAATTATCCATGTTCTGAAGTAGGTCCAATAGGCATCGGTTTTGAGAGCTCAAATTTAAAACGTAAGACGTCTCGAAGATACTACAGTTAGTATAAAGTGACAATATGCAATGATGTAAATGTTAGATTGCTGCGCTGCTCACAACTGAACACAATATTGTGTGTGATGAACCTATTGAACGCAACAACAACAACAACAACGACCGAATCATACTTAGTGAAACCTCCAAAAGCCTCAGTATAGTCGAGGGTGGGTGTCTAGGGTTGCGGCTGATCACCCTTCCCTTGCACCTCGCGAAATCCTCACATACGACCAAGCGTCTCAAATAGCTTCTGCTGAGGAAGCTCTACTCATTGCCTTCTCGTAGCGGTGTTTTCCCACCAAAGTCAGNGAAAAGCCGAAATCCGGGTTGGTGAACTCCTGGCGGTAGTTCACCTAGGGGAGTTGGCCACAAACCCTGATTTCAAACCAACCAATAAGAGGTATACAAACCACGAACACCTTCCGGATTGTGACAATGGCCACCGGCTTGATTAGGCATCAAGGTGTATTGGACGTTTGACCCCGTCCAAAGAACACATGATCCGATGAACTGGACAGCAGCCCACCATGGACTGCGGTTTTCCCACACCGTCCCGCTGACTTGCGGGTGAACCTTAGGCTAGCCGAAGGCTCCGGTTGTGGATTCCCCAAGAAAATTCACCTGCCTTGGCCTGGACAACCTGACAATATTCCGCCCACATGCAAATCATGGAAAGTCTTTCTTTTTCATAAAGATTATTGTACCATTTGTTTGGCACACAGTCTGGATTCAGACGAGTGTGACAATATGTATAAATATAAAACCTCTATGTTCTATGTTTGATGGCATATTCAAAGGATTGTGTGGCGTTTGTAAGGGAAAAACAAAACGATAAAAAGAGTGACCATTTCTAAGATATTATCATCCTCATTAGCCGACAGCGAAATTCCCTGATCACTGAGCAAACTGTTATCGTTGGTGAATGATGCGTGTATGTGTGTGTGGTACAACTCTAGGACTTGAAGTAGAGTGCAGATTTGGCCGATGCAAACGCTATCGTTCCTGTTCGCAGGTATTGGTCTGTTTTAAAGGTGCCACGCCGTGAAGTACCTC